ATTCATACTTTGGGGCATCGTCCACCAGCATGAATGTCATATTCACGACTGGGAAGCGTCATAACCCCATGTAATTTTTGAAGTAAAGTAATCGCTAAGAAAAAAATCGCGAGTAAACTTGCCCCGTGTGGCTCATGCCAGCATTGCATCGAGATAAGCCGCAGTCACACGTGAACGCGAAATAGTTGTCGGTCAGCTCTTTGCGCCTCATAAACTTAAGGTTGCGTTTACACTTTTCGGCAGCGTCCACTAGCGACCAATAGCGTCCACCAGCGTTCCGAGCGTCCGGCAGCGTCAGCGACTAGGAAAGTATAGATATCGATCTAGCGTCTGCCAGCGTCTGTTAGCGTCCTTCCAGCGTCCACCAGCGTCCACGTCTCGACGGTCAGGGAAGTATATGACTGGTCAGACGACCAGCAGCTCTGCCTTCAGCGTCCACCAGCGTCCGGGAGTGGAGAGCATACCAGCTCTTTGCTACCCTCCTATCGCCCCATACTCTCACATTCGAGACGCTGGTAGACGCTGGTGCACAATGGTAGAAGCTGATGGTCGCTAGATCGATACCTGTTCTTCCCTAACCCTCAAGACGCTGCTGATCGCTGGTGGACGCCGGCAGACGCTGGTGGACGCTGATAGACGCTGGTAGACGCCGATCGACATCTACACTTTTCTAGTCGCTCGATGCCGGTCGTTGGTGGATGCCAAGTATGAACGCAGCTTAATAGTTGACATTTATTCAGTTTGGCCTAGCCTTTCAACTCAGCTATCCTCTCCGCATATCTGAACATTCAAGTCCATTGCCAATCGCCTAACCGTTCTATTGGTTTTGAAACCATGTTGGAGACCTGCTTACAAATTACCATTGCGAAGTCCCGAAAAAAAATTTCCGACACAGACAGCTCTTTTCTACTAAGCACTCTTTGCTATAATATTCTAGGGCAAGTGGACGGGAAATTCATTCTTCGAATTGTACAGGTCGCTTTTACCCGAGTCGGTTTTCAATAAAAACAACAGCTTCAGTAGACGAACCTCCTCTTGTCACCGGGTTTTTTCCAGGGATCGAAATTAGTTTCTACTAAGAACCATCTGTCATCACTCAGAGTCCTCACATCGGCAGCACGCATGCGATCCCTGAAGAGTATGCGTGAGCTATGGGTTCAAATACGGTTTTGTAAATATCCTTTGTT